ATGTTTTCTCCAATCAGAGGAACTCTGTCATCAGATCCTTGTGTCATGGCGCCACCTTCTGGGTAACAAACTGAACAGCAGAGGAAGAAGGTTAAGGAAAACCTCCTTCCTCTGAGGGTCTACTTATCTCACCGCTGCTTTGGCTTCAGCCTGCTTGGCCTTTTTCACACGGGCCTTGCAGATGTCCAGGTCCAAGCGTCGGTTCTCCAGAAGCCGCCTCTCTTTCTGCAAACAGAATCAGAACCATTGAACCTGCAGTTCTCTCCATCTCAGGATACTTTAACCAAGAGTTCAGCTCTCTGATCCTGATCCAGTCTTCGGTTCATTCCGACCCTTCAGGCTTTCCTTTAATCTGTGAAGTGGTGCTAGGGAACGATTCTGAAGGTTTTCCTCCGATTTAACTCACAGCTCACTGAACATGTTTTCTGCTTTCTGAAAATTCTGTTATATTTATGGCAGCAAACCAGTAAAACTGAGTTTTAATCTTTCTTTCGAAGAATAATCTTCCTGGGTAAAACATCTGATCCAGTTCGCTTTACAACAGAAGACAGGATTGAAACCAGGACTAGATCAGGATCCAACGCTGGTTTCTGAGTGGATCCAACTCACTGAGATGGTTCTCCAATCTCCCTCCAGGAAGTTGCGCAGAGGAGAGAGGAAAGTCACGGCTGAGGTGTGGAGGAATTCCCGTTCGGCTCCTCCCAGCTTCTTCTGGTACTCTCCGACGGTGATCAGGGTGCTGCCTGCAGCCAGACGGACGCAGAGGCTCAGACACACAGAGACCTTCATCGCTCCTCATCACTTCCACCAACAGAACCTGATGATCTACGTTCAGGAGCTACAGGAGTGAAAGCCGGATTCAGCCGCTCACCATACGGAGTTTCTGCTCCAAATTCTTTAGCGGCGTCCAGCATGTGCTGGCCCAGCAGCTCGGCGTTGGTGGTTCTGGAGGGAAGCTTCCTGTCCAGCTTGTCGTAGATGAACTCCTCGATCCGAGCGCCTGGAAGCAGCGATAAAAAGAGTTCAGATTCTCAGAACGGCCTCACCTCTCCATGCAAAATAAAGTTAGGAACACTGGAATCATACGAACAGCATAAAAAGAAAAGTTGCAGACAAATTTACTGATAAAACTTCCAAAAACCTAATAAATTACATCGATTAAATAAATAATTAAACTAATTAACATAAAACTACGACAGAATAAAACCAAGAACTATTTAAAACAATCATCATCAAAACGTTCCTGACAGCTTAGAACCGGGCTTCAGGGAGATTCCTTTCTAAATTTTATCCAGAGCATCGATCCCTTTCAGTTCAGAGGCATGCTGGGAAAAAAAGCACAGACCTACCTGTGTGATCAACTGAAGCATGAAGGAAAACAGAGACCAGATGTTAATAAAGGGGCCAGAAACATTTCCGGTTCTTATACAGCTATAAGAACCTCTAAATCTGGTTTTAACTCTAACGTCTCGGAGAGCTTAAAGGTGAGAGCTACCAGTTTAACTCCTCCCAGCCAGAAGGTGGCGCTGTCTCTGCCGATTTCCAACCAGTTGCCACAATAATTTTATTTTGTTTATACTGCATTTTACAAAGTACAAAAACAATGACAGGGCGAAATGTACATGGATTTCAATTCAAAACAACTTCTTAACAGATCAAGTCAATTCGTAAAATGGAGCATCATCAAGCAAGTATATAAATAATAAAGACCATGAAATAATACAGAAACAAGACACCATAAACATTACACCACTTACACGCCTGAATTGTGTCTGAAATAAAACTATAACAAAACTGCACAAAAGTAAAGTAATAAAATAATAACAAAGGGCAATTTTATATCAACTTCAAGTTTTCCGATAAGGATGATACTTTGACAGCGGGTTTGGAATTAGTCAGAGACTTATAATATAAATCAAACTCATTTTTCCAATTGCAAAAAGTGGGCTTTGTCTTAAAATACCTACCTAAAAATGTCCCCATCAGTATAAGGTAATTTCTAGGGATGCATGATATAATCGGCCCCGTATCTGTACCGGCCTAAATACTGAATATCGGACATCGTCCCCCCCACCGAT